TTTAATACTTAACAATTACAGTAATAATGATGACATCCATATTTCATTGGCACCTTAAAAAGTATAGGTACAAAGTGCTTTGACATACAGCAAAATAACAAAGCAAACTTGATTGTGATTGGCCAATAACGCATAGCAACAGTGTGCTATCCCTCGATAGATCACAGAAGAACAAACCATTACTAAGAGAAGACAGTTAGCTCGGGACTCGGCTGATGAACTGTAATCATATCAGTCCACAGAAAGAAGCCTCTTTAATTTGATGTTAATGGTCTTTTCACTGTGGGAGGAATAGAAAGGTGTGTTACAACGGACGAAAAAAGGAAAGAAGACGCTAAAACTGTACGCCACGACAGAAATCTACAAAACTGAAGATGGCACGTGAAGTAAACACATAACGAGTGTGAGACATAACCTGCTCACCCCGTCAGGTTCCATTCCACGATTACAACCTGCTCACTGAACATAATCCCTCACATAGAGTCATGCACAGATCATTTCACATTAAGATCAATAAAAGACAGTCTTATCCAGTTCAGTATCAGCAGTGCACACATGGATTATTGAACAAATTGTGGATCGGTTTAGAGTTAGATTGCACAGTTGAAAATAAATGATAAACAATGGAGAAGTTTACAGTTTACATTACATTAACCATCAAAGTTTACACATTTTAACTGAATCGTTTCATTAAAATCTTCTAAAAACCAACTTGTGCCAAAGCTAGGATATTTGTTTCCTCCTCTGTAAGTGAAATGGTGGCATCTAAGGGAGCATTTTCTCTCTCATGTCCTCTAATATCATCTGAAGCCCCTTAAAGAATTCTCAATAGGCCATAATGAGGAGGACACAGTCTTGGCTCAGCCTTTCTCAGATGGCTCTATTCTATTCAATTCAATTCAATTCAATTCAATTTATTTTTGTATAGCATCAACTCATAACAAGTGTTATCTCAAGACACTTTACAAAAAGCAGGTAAAATACCTTACTCTTTGTCTGTTAACATTACGAAAGAGCAGGTAAAAAGACCTTACTCATTGTTATGTTACAAAAAGCAGGTAAAAGACCTTACTCATTGCTATGTTACAAAGATCCGGCCTATCCATCATGAGCACTTTAGCAAAGCAGCAAAAGTTACAGTGGTAAGAAAAAACTGCCTTATTAAAAGGCAGAAATCTTCGGCCGGATCCCCGGCTCATGACGAAACAGCCTTCACAGGCCTAGACTGCGCCGGGTTTGGAAAGGGATAGGGGGAGAGATGGGATAAGATGCAGGAAGAGGGAGAGGGAGCAATTGTGTTCTTCATTAACAATAAAATCTCAGGTAAAATAAATCACAACCTCACCTGATAATTTATCAATTTATCATCATAAAGTAACTTGTCTCTAGTTTTCTTGTCTTTTCATGAAACGTGAAACTCAGTTTTAATCTTCAACCTGTTTTGCCTCCCTTCTCACCCACTCTCCCCCACACTCACCCCTTTCAAACTGAGCAAAATTGAGAACTCTTACAAGTAGTCTGACTTTAAGGGAGAAAAATTATGGCCAAACATTGCACTGCTAGCGAATCATCTCCCCCCTCCATCCTCCGTTTCTGTGTCCACCTCTCTGCCCCGATCATTAAATTCGGCCTATAAATAAATGCCTGAGCTGTCACACAGGAAAATGGGGGCTGTAGACTTGGGAATTGGTGGCAGGGAAGTGAAAGGAGGGAAGCAAGCCAAATGAATAACAATAAGCCCAATATGCATCGTTGCCAAGGCAGGAGAGACATGAAGGCTGAGCAGTTCAAGTCAGACAGCCTGACACTCTGGTAGCAAGTCAGATCGACAGGTAAGGCAGACCAGCAGGTGGAAAGATGACAGACTGAACTATGTCACAGCAGTGGAATATTTCTGTGTGCAGCTGGGTGGGGACTCAGGTGTCAGGGCAACAGTGGAAAAGAGTAGTGAAATCGAAACATTGATCAATGTCAGAAAGAAAGATGCAGATGGAGTGAAGTGTCGAATTATATTCAACACAGCATGAAAGAAGGTATAAGGTTGAAAAGATTTACTCCAAAAAGTGACACAATGTGCAGGCAGGTGTTACACTATTTGTTGAGTCACTCCTGAAAAAAATGCCCCCAAGTACAGTTTCTAAATTCAGAGTGTCTCTGAAATGAATCAGGCTTTGAAGATATTTTCAGTCCTCTCTTGCAGGTTGGAGGACTTTATTTGCTGTTATTTGAAAGAATGGTGTGAATACAACAAAAGAAAAGTGATAAAGGCAAGAGGGAACATTGATATTTTAGAAACAGAGAGGGTAAACTTTCTAGATCATACAGACAAGCCTTTAGAGCATAATCTTACATTTAAAAAGCAATAGGCAAGGATGATGCTTGACACAAGGTCAAGTCATCCCCCGCCTATAAAATCTATTTCACCATTTACAGGTTATCAACCTCCTCGGGCATTTCATCCGCTGTACAACATCTGCACTTTAATCAGCTTCTTTTGGCTGCCTTAACATTTACAAGGTTATGGTGGAAATAATCTTTGTTTTCCAGGTATGGGTTGCATGTTTTTTTTTTGATAAGGAATTAGTTATTCATTTCCTTTATTGCATTTTATGCATCTTATTTGTTTAATCTGCAGCAGTGTATGACATAAGTTGTGTTTAGCATCTGTTTTTGTCATATTGTATTATAACAACAGGATTTTCACATAATGAGAATTGCAAGCATCAGCTAAAGAGGTTTCTTCTTGCCTCAAGCAAATCCATTTCTTAAATGTTTTGCTTCATTACATTATTGAACAGCTTTTTCACAGGGGGTGTCTCTGGGCTCATGTTATCTATCTATCTGTTTGGTTTTTTTTGTATTTATCATTTTACTCTTCTAGACTGTAATTTTCTCTTACAGTTTTTTTTGTGTGCACAAAATCCCCAGCAAACTTTTGTTGTTAGAAATGTATCTAATTGTCACATGATACACAGGATTCTATCATATTAAAATAATTATGAACACAAGGTTAATTCAAAGAGTGAATAAATCATAAATGAATTACACACAAGGTCACACAGGTAACTTGTGTTTACATGCATGCACACATGCATATATACATGTGCTCTGGTATTGATGGTGGTTGTATAATCAGTTACCCATGTAGCAGTATATAGGGGATATAATTGACTGCCTTAATTGACTGGCGCCAATCAAGCTGCAGATCTGAGAGTGGGAGGATCGGGGTGAAGCCTCTCAGGTGGTGGTTTATCTGCCCGCCTCTGCTGCTCACATTTCAGCACACATGGAGAATAATGTAAATGCAGCCAGTGCAAAGGCAGTAACACATGTTCTTGCATTTAAATAAATATCAGTGTGTGTTATTGTAGACACAGGGGAGTACTAGAAGAGCTACAGTATGCATTATCATTCATATATCTTTGGCTCAGTTCAAGGCACCATATGAACTCCCACATGCTTAAGTCCCTGCCAGGCTCAGACATTGATTAACAATAACCATCTGTTTGGTTTAATTTAAGTGCATCATCCTGTTTAAACGGCTCTAAATGAAGAAAGCCAACAGCAATGTTTCCTTCTAAATGACAACAAAACAAATGTACATCAAAATACTCAGAGACGAGGTCAGCAAGTCATAAATAGTTTATGCATTCACATGATTTTCTTTTGAACATGGAATGCTGTCTTTAAAGGGTTTGTTTTGTGTACCACTGTATGAGCCTGTGGCTATATGTATCTCTGTGCCAGCCTTCATATTATTTAGTGCTTCACAGAAATAAAAGGTAACATGTGACTTACTCAAAATGTTACAGCACTCGACTGATTTAGCATTGCACTCATAACTCATGACTGATGGTTAAAAAAAAAAAGAAAGGGATAAAAGTGGATGCTGCAGAATTAGAGATGTATGTCATGTAGTCCCTTCTTAGAGCCACGGTGTCTGTAATACCCAAAATGTAACTCATCCTCCCACGGTTCATTCGGAGATTCTAGTTCTGTGATAAAACCGCTCATTTAAGAAGCCTTGCACCTTGAGTTAGCGAAATACAGGTATGCAGCTGCTATCTCTTGGAGTGTTTTTGATACGTTCTCTTTTTCGCAGCATTTTATGTGTCACAATTACATCACGGTGGATAGAAGCTGTTGATTCTGTGTGCATGTCAGGAAAACAGACACAGTCATTTTAAACCAAATGTGGTTCCAAATAAAGTAACCAATATGCACATGTGCTGTGTTGATGTGTGTGTCTGTGTAAAAGGTTGGATGCTCTCAGAACAGCTTACTTATATTACGTCAGGCACTTAACAAGTACCACCCTCTTTCTTCCTTTAAATTCACATTTTAATGTCTGGGGATACAGAGGCAGTCATGGTCACACACACACACGACAGAGCGAAATTATAAAACATCTCATTCACAGAGATTTAAAATCCTAACATGCTTGGCTTGATAAGTTATACGTAGAGCCTAATTTAACTCGGGCCATGAAATTCAATAAACACTCTTATTTGTAGTTCAGTCATAAGCGTCTAAGGGGCAATGACAAATGATCTGGCTGGCAAAGCAGAGAGGGAGTTTCTCTGGGTTGGTCAAGGTATATCTGAGGACATCATCCTAACTACCATCGTCATAATCACTTGTGTGAATTGAGCATTTGGCAAGAAAGTTGACTTAAACAATTAATAGCTCTTATCATTCCCTCCCCTGAGTCTTTTTCCCAACAGCTTGCTCAGATTCAACCAGGCTGCGAGATGAATGTAAACTACAAGTCCCCTTGAGAGGACTTCTCTTGGGTCCTACAAGAAGATCTAGATGTTCCTGCCTGACTCTCTTTCCTGCCCTGTTCTTCACTTTGAGAGGATTATGTGAATTTGTGAGGCTGTTAATCAAAATACAAGCTAAAGAGCCTGACAGCTGGGATGAAGAAGAAGAAACAGAAGACAGATCTAATAGAATAGAAGTGAGGGCATGACATGCAACAGGAGTGAGCAGTTGCCTACCTGAGGTAACGCAGTGGTTCTATGGTTTCAGCCTCTGCCTCAGCCGAGCTGTGGTTCATCTTGTCCATCTTTATTTTTTTCACCCAGCGGGACTCGGCAAATACGAGAAAGGATGAGCTGTGCCGCTTGAAAGAAAGCACTTCCGCTCCTTGTGTGTCACTCTGATTCAATAAGCACACTGTCTACCTCAGTGCCTCGGAATAAACTGAGAATCTAAATGGGCTTCCTCCCTATGTCTCTTGCTCTCTCTCTCTCTCTCTCTCTCTCTGTCTGTGGCTCTTGATTGGTTCAGATAGTGGAAGGTAATTACTGGATGCTACACACTCTGTATCTCTGCCTCTCGTCTCTGTCTCTCTCCCACTGTGGAGCCGTCTCTCTCTCTCTCTCTCTCTCTCTCTCTGATAAAACCATCTGGCTCCGTGGATCAGCTGCAGCTCACCAGGAAAGACAGCCAATTAAGAATCAGCAGGCAGGGTGCTTGCCGGCTGATTGGCTGAGGCTGCTGCGATCAGAGCTGTTCAGTCATTCACGGTGCACCCCCACCACGACCACCCCTCTAAAATTCACACATATTCACACGTATAATCCTTGGTGGCACAAAGAAAAATCGCTTGATGTAGAATCTGGAGCATGCATTACAATGGTGAAACACTTGACTGCTCTCTGAATCACAAACCTCTGAAAACACCTCTCACATGATGGTGGGAGGTAAATTGAAGACCACAGCTGAGATAATAACACTACAGGAGCTGAGTGGTGCTACATTGCAGCAGCAATTTGTAGCTCCAGCACAAATAGATGGAACAGAACCAAAGTGACACCAAAAAGGAGTTGAAGTCATGCATACTCACCATATGGATTTAGGGCAAGCATAGGGGGAGAAAAGCACTCAATCATTAAAATGTAAATATAATGCACATACAAAGAGGGCGGATATGTAGAGCAGGGGAGCACCTGCAGGAGCCAAAGAATGCTCAGAAGTGGGTCATGGTGAGAAACAATAAGTCACTTTCTTCTCTAAAGGTCTCTCTCTTTTCTAGTCTTTGTTCCAGTTGGCTTCGACTACAAAGTTCCTGACCACTTCTTACAACTCAATTAACAGGAACAGGTCTGTGGTCTTATATTATAGATAAGGATGTAGATTCCTGTAAACAGATGTACAAAGATTGAAGATTCGATTCCTGAAAAACAATTTACAGTTGTTCCTCCATCATTTTGACTCATTTTTCAAATACATTCTTAAAGTGCTCTTAACTGTAAGAACATTTGTCTCAGCTGTTTGTGAAAAGTCACAAGTCACTCAGAACATTTCATCTGTTTCAAAACTGAGTCGTTGTGTCAGTAAATTGGTCAATGCCACCAAAATGAAAAGTAGTTTTCTCATTGTTTGAGCCATATTGAAATGTTTCTGCCTTTTCTTCTTCTTTTTAGTCAACCTTGACAAAAAATGATTAAAATCTCTATTTGTTTCTTCATTTTTTATGACACTGACTGCGTACTGCTCTGTGCAATTATACTGAGCTTTTTAGAATCAGATTTTAATATAAGGTAAAAGTTTACTGGGAATGTAACCTTGTGTTACACTGTATACAGAAAATTTACCTTTGGTCTTTCATGTAAAGTTATGTGACACCCAAGAATGTCCTAGTTAAGTATTTTAGCTGGCTGCTTATTTGCTCATTTAGCAAACACCACAAACATCCCATGTTTGGATATTTCTACGCTTATGACATTTATGAAATATACATGTATGTCTGGGACGGCAGTAGCTGAGTCTGTAGGGACTTGGGATGGTAACCTGAGGGTCGACAGCTCAATACCCAGTTGCAGACTGAAATATGGAAGTTGGTCTGGTAGCTGGAGAGGTGACAGGCCACTTCCAGAGTACTGCAGATGTGCCATTGAGCATCCCCCCCCCCCCCAACAGCTCTGGCATGTATCCCAATAACAGATTGTAAACCAGAATTTCCCTTTAAAAATGTTAAAGTAAATGTCTGACTCATTTTGAAAACTTAATGAACCATTTTGCTTGTGACGGCTCAAAAGATGAAATAAAGTTTTATAGTTGTAAAGAGTTTAAAAGTTTCACTGAGAATCAACAAGCAGTGTTGATCAGTAGGCAGGTAGGAGTGGTTATTGTGAAAATGTGTAGACAATTGTACTAAATATTTAGCACTCATGTACCAAAACATGTGAAATTTGCCTGAATGAATGAGAAATTCTGATCTATTGTGGAAAAACAAACCAACTGTTCAAAGATTTGAACTTAATGTTTTGAAAAGAGTAATTCTCATTTGAGAACTGAGCCAAAGTAAATGAGAAAAACTGTAGGACAAACTTAAGGAAAATGGGTTTTTTTGTTGGTGTATGCTGCCACCTAGGGGATTTAATAAACGGTTGCAATTCAAAACAAGCAATCCATTGAGAACTAATAATTATGACTAATAAACACTCAGGCTTGACAAACATGTTGCAGCACTAGAAGCAAAATTAAGCTTGCCAATTATCAACAGCTCAAAGCAGCTGTTGACCTATGAATGTTTTACTTTGAACATTTGGGATGCTGAAATATTTTGTATAAGGATATTATGGACATATTGGTGAGCAAGACTTGTTTTAAAATAGACTTGAGAATTGTAAACCTAGCAATGAATCCAAGATTGTGTGAGTCAAGAGCTGTTTGTGGTTTTAATCCACTCCACCTGAGTTCCTTTGCTTGATCCCTGACCTGGAAAAATATCAATATCAATCTACTCTGACTTCGAGAGGCCTGTGTGCAGCAGATAGACGCAACAAAGGCAACTACTTGACATAAATCCAGTACAAAGGCCATGCAATAAATCCTTTTCTTACAAACCCTGAATATTGAGCACTATGCGCTTTAAAGATGCTAACTCACACTTTATTGTTTCACACTGCTTTATTTTGGGACATTATGTTTCCAGATGAAGTTGATGTGCTGGGCTTGGATGTGTTGGCCTCCAGTGTTTCAAAGGCCAGTGAACAAGTGTGATTTTGAAAAGAATCATGATTATTTAATTATGTTTTATTCTGCTGAAGGCAAACTCTTTTCTACCCTTCAGTCATCCTCTTCTCCAGGGTTCTGCCTGTCAAAAGTTGTCCTGTTTTCCTTGCAGCTTTGCCAAGTACCTGCAATATGTTCAATGTATTGAAAAATAATATTTAAAATTACAGACAAGATCTTTTCTTACCAGTCTGGACAAAATGGTTTGCTATTTTGTGCTTAATACACTGAAGTTGAATGATGTTGAATGTTTTTTTTTTTGTAGGTGAGGTTCCAGAATGTCTCATAACACCAAGCCAACAGTCCAAAACCAAATAGAAGCAAAACACTTCAAATTAAAGAGAAGAATTTGGCTTATAATGTTGTTGTAATCAGGTATGTCATTGGCAAAAAAGCAGGAAAGCAGAGCGCAGTATACATTTAATTTTCAACTGGATGACTATTTACTTTGAGCTACTTTTATCATTTAAGTGTTACAACTGTGGGTCAACGTTCCATGTAAAAACAAATCTATAAATTTCACGTTAGTCTTGAAGAATCAAATCCCCGAATGAATCAAATAAGCATTTTCTGAATACCATCTCAAATGCTTCATCAATCTAAATGACCAGGCAAACCAGCCATGAAGTAAGGGGTTAAAATTAGTTTTATTATTTGATAGAGCAGAAAAAAAATCCAAAATAACAAACAATTCTCATACATTTGTTTTCTTTTCCATTTGGGCTACACTGCATTCAGCAGAGCTCTGAGCCCAAACGAACGGAATGGTGATATTGTTGTCTAACAGTAGCAGCAGCAGGCAGTAGTCAGGAAAGCACAGGGTTAACACTTAGCAGGGCACTAAATGAAGGGCTTCATCCAGATCGCTTATTTTGCATCCACAAGACGCGGGCGGCTACCTTCCTGCCTGTCAGGAATGTACAGACAACCTGTTCGATTTCTGATGCTACACTGAGACAGAAATACTCAACATTGAGAAATTTGAATTCAACTTTGTCTGCTTGTATTTCTATTAGCAATGAATATTTGCACCATCCTAAATGAAACCCTCATGTACAGAGATGACACCACAGTACATAGTGACTAACTTTAACTGATGCCCAGTTACCAGAAGAATCGGTGAGCGAAGGTGTGCAGGAAACAAACTCCAACAGGGCAGCAAGAATCCAGGTATGTCATGACAAAGTGATGAGTTAATCGTTACCGCTGTTTCAATGTGAAAATCACATCAAGATGAACACATGGTGGATATTTAAATGCTTCTGTCAGTTGTTGTTTTTTTTAGAAACACTGCTTGTAAACATCTTTACATTAGAAATATCCACATTTTCCTCTTCCTAAAATTTAATTTGTATTTGTTGACATTTTCCAATAGGACAGATACACCACTGCTTTGTGAATTAGAGAAACATGACCACCTCAGTGAGTGAAATGAAAGAAAACACACATCGTTATTAAAATATGGTCATCTATTGTAGGAATTCCCCGGTTAAATGTCGGACAAGTTGTATTTGCTAGCTTATCCTGTGCTGCTGCGACCTGATAAAAACGCACAAGAGCTCATGTGAAAGGCATAGTTCGCTCAATTCAAGGACCTGACATAAATCATACACACTTCAATGATACAGACTAAGAAGTTCATGTCATGTGTTGCTATAGGGTTTGTTTTTGCATAACTACATTCTGAAAGCTGTCCAGCTTCTCTCAGACCAATCGGAAGGTGAGTGGGAGCCACTGGACACATGAGAGAAAACAAATGAATATTAAGTGGAGATCCATTCAAATGTAGGGCATAAGGATATATCTTTACTAACATGACCCTATAAATAAACCCAGAGACAGTTTGTCTATAGAAGAAAAACAATTCACCACAACCTATGACTAAAAGCAAAAACAATGTCAAAAATATGACATTCCTTACACCCCCTCAGTTTAGCATGAATTCATGTTTATATCCGGAGAGGGTTCAAATAAACTAGAAACCTTCTAGCAGAAGGGATTCCATTTGGGCTCCACTAGTTCTTTGGAAGGTTTTTTTTTTGTCTGTTTTTTTTACTTTTACATTATTCATTAAGAATAGTCCTCCAAACATATGCTCCATGTTTTTACATTAATCAGTGAAACCTTAATCTTTATTCTTCCACTTCATCTTAGAAAAAACAAAGTATTTAAAAGTAGGCCACAACATGGAACCCAGCAGATGTAAAACCACCTCAACAGTAACATTAGCCTGTGAATTAAGACCTGAACAACAGGCCACTTCCAAAGTCTCAGGGAGCACAATATTCCAAACACAGTATATGACTTATAGAAGAAAAAGACAAAAAATCCTAACATTCATACATACAAAATAATCCAACACACATCAACTTCTCCACTATACACACACTCTGTGAGATAGAGAGAAGAGGCAGTCTGTGTGCAGATAGAGATCTTTTTTTTTTCTTTTTTTTTACAGTCCTTTTTGTATTTTTTGAATTCATTTTTGCAAAGCTGAAGCAGTTATTATTTTGTGGATGGTCCTCAAAGCGCGACCACAATCCCTGGGATGAGGTCTTTAGTAAAGTTCAGTTCGGGCCACCACATGGGCCTGAGTCCGACTGGCTCAGACTGAATAGGGGTAGGACGTAAGGCGTATATTTTATTGTTTCACCGAGGGATTTTTAGGTTGCCCCTGTCTGATCCAGAGGCAGGGGGAATTCAGGGAGGATTCCTCTTGCTGCAACTGCGAGGTTCAACCAATTTCAGGGGGGCAGAGGCAACATCGCTGAAGAAGTTTGTGAACGTGTACTCAACTTCCATAAGCCCAAGGTAGAAGAATTATCATTGACATACTCCTTGTGTCGTAGGAGCCCAAGCTGTCGCAGCTCAACTCCAATTTGGGATGAAGAGTCAAGTAAGAAAGATGGGAGCAGAAATATCTGTGGAAGAAGTGAAGGAACGCCTGTGTCCAACACAAAAACTACGCTGATTCTCCCTCATGCCATTCTGGCCAGAGAAAGGGTCCATAGAAAGGATTAGAACAATAATGAGAATGGCTGTTATTGATATTAAGAGGGGTAATGGTTATGATGTCAGTAGGGAGTAAGATTGCATTATTTCCATGTGTTGGCTGCTTGGGAGATAGAACGGGAGGGAATCATGTCCAGCAGGTACTCTCGCTGACGCTCCACAGCAGAGGTGGTTTTATGGGCAGACAAGCTGGGGTTTACGTAGGCCATAGTCACACCTAGGAGGAAACAAACACAGCAGGGGTCAATGTGATGAAGATTGAACGGCTCAGTTTAATTTGTATCCAGAAATATCACACATTGAAGTTTAAAAGCAAAGATAACACACAGAGAAGGAAATTACTGAGCAAGAAGAGTGACATATTCAAAATATTTACAGCCAAAAATGTATTTCTTTTTTTAAACATTGGGAGAACTATACAGTAAAACTTAAATGAAAAAGGCCTCGTCTGAGAAAATGGAAAGACAGACACTGAGAAGTGATGGAAAGAAAAGTAGTCCACTTTAGTAGAAAGTGATTCCACAAAGGAAGAGCAGAAAGCGAGAACAAGTAAGGCTTGTTTCGGCCTAACCTCGTCTCATGTGTATATACCTGTATTGCCCCCGCTCTGCTTCCTCCAGGCCGCCACATTGCCCTGGTTACTGCTGCTGCTGCCGGCGCTGACCTTTGCTCCCTGCTGCAGTGGACGTGCCGCAGCATGCTTACCTGGCCTGCTGCCCAGTGCTGCAGCTGTCACCGCATTCTGAAGCTGAGAGGAGGAAGTGTATGCGTGGGCCAGACCACGAGAGCTCACTGCAGCCTGGATGCTGTGAGACAGCTGACTCTATAAGGAGAAACAAAATGAGGGGAGACATGCTGAGTGTTGGTACATGTGTTAACCCACAAATATAATGACTGCAAATGTACAGAAATCTTTCAATCACTTTATAAACCCCTGTCTTGGTCCATGACTCAGATAATGGAAGGCCATGCTCACCTGCTTGATGGTGGAGTGGTGGCCAGACACAGATCTGTGCTGCATGGCAGCCCTGACCTGCTTGTACTGCTGAGACACCAGCATCTCACTCTTGGACATTGAGGGAGAGGAAGATGAGGTGGTTTTAGAGACAGATGAAGAGGAGGCCGCCTGCTGGAGAATACGCTGCTCTATCTCCTGCTCCTGTTGGAGTGCCTTCACAAAGGCTGCCTTCAGCCGGTTGGTGTGCTCAGCCTTCAGGGCCTTCTTCTGATTGGACGACATGCATTGGTCACAGAGGATAGTCCCAGCCTTCTCCTTTCTCCAACGGGAAGTGAAGTCAGTCTTACACTGGGCGCAAGTGTGTGGCTCTTTGGGAATGGCGCTGGCCATGGCAGCAGCTGGGCCCAGATTGCCTAGATGAATAACAAAGTGCTTTGTTGAAATACATATAAGTTCTATGTATCCACCATGACACTACAATATCCACAAACTAGTTACAACAGGGCAGATGTCTACCCACCCCTGCCGTGCATCTCCAGAAGCTTTTGCACCACCTCCTCCAGCCCCAACAGGTAGATGAACTCATTATTGGCAGCTGAAGGAAGGAAGTTGAACTCAGGGGCAGGAGGTTTAGGTGGAGGGATCTCCAGCAGTGTCTTCTCCAACTGCTTACGCAGTGCAAGCTTAGCAGCCGCCTGCCGGCTGGCAGGGGAGTCATTAATGTTGGAGTTTGGGGACACTGAGGAACCTTTTAGGCTGGTTGGAGAGGCCTGGAGAAAAACACAAGCGAAGACACATCAGCAACTAGATATTATTTTTATGGCAATGGAACAGAAACGTTATGAAAGGGCATTTTTCCCACTGCAATGTAAGCTTGTAAATAGTTCCTTACCTGAGGGATGTTAACCATGATATTACTGTTGGCCACGTTAGCCACCCGAATGAGTCCCTGCTGAATGATCCTCTGGCCCTGGACCTGGACATTGGGCACAGAAGCCCTGGGGGCCAGGAGCAGTGGAGGGGGGCCTGTTCCACTGTGCTGCTGCTGTTGCTGACGTAGACTTGCTATCTGCTGAGGAGTCATTGCAATAGGCTGAAAGCAGCATCACAGGAGCATGAAGAGTGGGCATGGAGAGGGGGGGCGGAAAAAAGAGTAATTTACAAAGAGCCCTTGAAAACTATACTTCTTCAAATGTGTCTAGTATAATGTAAATAATCATAATGAAAAGTGTCACGAACCCTCACACTAACCTGCGCCCCTCTGACAAGCGGCGGCATGACAATCTGAGAGTTGTGTTTGGACGGTACATGTTGCCCACCTCGCACCAAGGGAGGAGGGATCACCGTGCCTGAGCTTCGACCTATAACCTGTGAACAGTAAGGCAGATACATACTCAATGACACAAGTATGCAACATAATGCAACAGAAGTGTTGCATCCTATACCGTATATGTAAAGCTTTTGAAAGCAGTATTCCCTCCGCATGTGGTGTAATGTACATGTATTTCAGTTAGTGCAAGTTTTAGCAGGAGGCTTAAACAAATTATAGTAATTACCTGGTGGGGTCCTTTGCTTGATGTGATGCTACCTCTTACCAGAGGAGGAGGAGTGGCCACTGAGCCAGTCGTCTAAAACAAACAGGGTTTGGTATTAGTCTGGAAGTGTGTGCTTCATACATTTTTTTCCTTAATTATGTCAAATGCAATCATCTGGAATGCCTAAGCATAACTAGGAACCTTTTGATTGCAGTACATGAAACTTACAATTAAACAAACAATTAAAACAAGAATTCCCGATTTCTGATACATCTATCAGATTTTACCTTCTGCGCAGTGCTCTCCTTCTGGATCTGGCTCTGTCGTAACTTCTTAAGCAGCACCAGCTTGGCCTCTTGGAGTCTCAGTTCCTCCTTCAGCTGTTTGATGATGCGCTCCCTCTCCTCGGGAGAACTTTTCTATACACACACCGATAGAAATAAATTGTACATGTATGTCTCCTTAGTCTTCTTTTTTTTAAGTCGAAAAATGTTTGTCTTCTTAATTGCACTAAGAGAGGATGAGGAATTCTAAACCTGAAAGAAAAAAAGTCTGTACAGATTAAGTTTTATGTTTTCTTACCATTAGTTTATCTGTGTCAGTCTTGGTGAAGCAGTGGCCATTCATGAGAGGACTGGAAGGCTCATTGTCTGATAACACAATGACATCATCCGGCGATGGCAGCTGCCGTTCCTTCTTAATGTCACTGAGAGGGGGGGGAGTAAAAGAAAATAAACAATTATTTTCAAAATGTGTTTCATCAGTCAACAAGGATTAAACAATGTATCCCTTTTCTGTCTAGAATACCACAGTTTCTATTAATTGCAACTAACTTGTATTTTTGCAGTACATCCAGTAGATGGCAGTAAATAATTACCGTTTCATCAACTCTGTTTTGGAGCAAATGTGCTCTGGGACACACAAGAACACAAGAACCAAGAGATCAATAATGGAGTAATGGCGGCAGGGGAAGATCGCACCGATCCCATTATATTCAGCGATAGGTAACATCAACGAACAGACCTCCTGCTCCTTTTAGTGTCTACAGACACAGCAGCCAGTCACAAACAACAAACAGAGATCAATTAACTACATTTCCGTTTTGTATAGGAGTAAACGCTTAAAGCCTTTTGATAGAATGTTAAGTGGCTTTTCTTGAGAACTAAGGAGAACAAAGGCTTCTAGTGGCAAGCTTCATACGCATCACTCCGGAGGGGGGTGGAGATAAGAAGAAGGGGGTGGTTATAATTTTACAATGCATGAACGACTACAAGAATAAATCTGCCTCGAAACTGGGGATCCTGCACGGTCCTAAAGGATCGGCACTTTAATAAAACAGAAGTCTGACTGGTAAACAGAAGTGCCGCAGGATGAGGTGCTTTAGGGACTGTGATGTATGGCAGTGTGAGAGGAAGAGGCTCGGGCCATAATGTGGATTTATGCACGCACCCTTACAGTTAAGTTATATAATTGTTCAGGCGCTGTTAAGAGCTCTAGGGATTCAAGCTAAGGCCCAGTTTACCACCCAGAAAGGGCCTCACCCCTCCCCTCTACCTCCGTGTCGAGGCCTATGGCCTAGCTGGAACGGCACAGCCTGGGCCTCAGCTCTCCCCTCCCTCCCAGCTGCCGACACCAGAGTCACAAGCTGAGCAGAGCGGAGGTCCGCTGGAGACACTGAAGAGGGTGACAGTGAGGGGGAGGGGAATGCATGGCCAGGAGCCAACCTATTGTGTACACTCTCTCTCTTTCAGTCAATCACTCAGTCTCTACTTCAAACACCCTTCCCCCATCCTTACTTAGTTGTTCATCTTTTATAGTCCCGCAGACTCACTGACGCACTTCTTCACACTTTTTTCATCCTTTTGTACGCGCCTGTCTTGTGGCACGTTTCTCTGCTAACCTCTCTGTCCTCAGCCCGGCTGTGTAACAGCTCCCCTCAACAGACTGCATTATCAGTTCAACAAGGTCAACAATATGACAATAACTGTGTTGTTTATTCTAACCATTATGAGATGAGAATATGAGCAGACTCCACAATCACAACAGTAAACACTGACTGTCATACTCTTACAGCTGCTAAGAACACAACCATTACCTTGTTAAAAAATTTTCGTGCTACTTCCTGAAAAGTACTCTATATGCATCATACTGTTAAAGACTTTCAGCATACTCCTATTCTGGGAGGGATTACTCTGCGAACACCAGCAGCACTTTTCCTGCTAAGCTCTGTTTACATTCTACATACTAAAACATGATAAACTACGTACACACATACATGTATAAATACAAAGTAATTAAATGCTTCATCATCCTTCAGCAACACAACCCAAATGGCATTCGGTTGCCTTGACAGACATGGCCTATAAAAGAGCCACGCACTAGCTTGTGATGGTTGATACCACTCTATTGAGAACAGCTTACACAAGCATCCCAACACACAGCAGCTTGGTTACGTAAGGTCCAATGTTTCTGCATGCCTCGGCTTCTCCGATCACAGGCTTCACACTGACCCCACTATAGGATTGCTGAATCGGTCATTATTAGGTGCAGAGGATTGTCGGTTCCAAATGCAAAACTGCAAAGTGCCATTTTTAGCTTGGTAATGCTCTATATGTTAAATAAATAGCTGAGCTATTAATAGGAAACAGGCCTTGAAAAGAAGCATTCAGATATTTTTAAAACAGATACATAAAATCTTCTTAGGAGGAGATCTTGTTGCCAATTCTTGGTGACACAGTTTATACATGACTGCATTTATCCCGAGTTTTTCTTTTCTTGCATTACATTTCCAGTGAGTTTTTTTTTTGTTTTTTTTTACAAAGTTGCCCCTACACACTCACAGCTTTCTGTATACAGCAATAAGTTCATCACCTCGCAGTGAGTAAACAACAAACAAACAGGGAGGGGAAGGTGGAACAGGGGGGCCAAAGGTGACACTCAGCCTAATCACATCTCTGTTCCACTTTGACTGCCATCACATCACTCTGTGTATTTATTGCTCTACCCAACACGTCACATGACATCAGGCATTTCTGTGTGGTCATGTGACACACCCACCACCCCTCATGGCCCCTCCTTCCTCCAACTGCTCCTTCCAATGTGGAAACCATGGCAACGGCCAGTTGGAACCAGTTTGTGACACATAGCCTTCATTTTGTGTGAAGTGTGAGGCAGAGTTCAGGTGCTGTTGTGAGAGAAAATGGAGCCCAGACCTCAGGAGCCTCAAACTTTTTCAGAATGGGGACAGGCTGATGAGAACCGCTCGGCGACTTCCTGTATGACTCCTGTCAGACCACTTGTGTTTGCAAAGTTAAATAGAAGCCTCAAAGTACAACAGACTCATCTTCGTGCATAACGACACAGTCCAAGTCTTCAGTTAAACAAATAATCTTTAAAAGGTTTTTGAACAAACACGTATGCAAAAATGATAACAAATATTGAGCCTCGACTGTCAGCTTGTATGAAGTCCCACACTTTCAATTCTCAACCCTGCCTTAAAGAGGTTCAACAACACTTAATTGTAATCAACTAGCGGAAAAACAGGAAACTGTTGCGTTTTTTTTGCATTTTATGCCCTCACTGAAATAAACTTGAATATAAGGAGATTAACATGCGTGAACTCCAGCTGGAAATACTTACAGAGGGTTCATTGTAGACAAAGTTGGCTGCATATGCCATACCGAGACCCAGGAGTAGACTTAAGGTACAGTGTTTATAGTATTCCTTTCATTGTGGTTTCGATTGACTAGATGACTTTGACAGTGTCATGTGAACTGAACAACAAAATGTTCTTTATGAACAAAAAGCTCTCAGCCTCTCTGAGATCTGCAACTAGTACTTCACGAGTTTGATAGCAAAAAGCAGCCGGTGTTCACATCAGACCCTTGGTGCTGTCACACTTACGCACAACTCCTGAAAAACTACAAGTTTTTGACTGCCAAAAAAAAACTACAAGTTTTTCAGGGGGGGGGGGGGCTGTATGTGTGAATGCAAACAGCCACATTTTTCACTCAAATTTTATCTGGAGTTTCTCCTGACAGCTCCCTAGAGATCTTTACGCAGAAAGTCAGAGTGAGCTGATTTTAGAATGTGGCAGGAATTATCAGGAGAATTCACCTGGAGCAAGAAAGAGGGGGTGTTGACGTTTGTATCCTGTGATCGGTGCAAAACTATAGACTGTATGCACCTGACTGGTACGATCTCAGCTGCATTATGTTTTCGGTTCACCAGTATGTTGTTCTTCACTCTTTTTTTATTATTGTGACTCACTTAACGTCATGTTTTGCCTCACAAGACATCGACAACTCCCCCCACCGACCCCCTCCCATCCGACCAGGAAAATCTCCTGGTGTTAGGTGCATGTGTGAATGACCAGATCAGAAGGATTTCAGTGGCTGTCCTCCTGAAATTCTCTAGAAATGTTCAGGAGTGTGAAGGTGTAAACATCTCCTTTTTCTCACCTTTTCGATGTGCTCATGTCAACAGGCTCGTCTCCGGTCTGCACCTCCACCTTGATCGTGGCCTTCACCTCCCCGGCTTTCAGGATACTGGCTGCTACTTTCACTGCCTGCTCACTCTTTAGCTTGACACCATCAGCTCCAGGTGCCACCAGCGCCAGGGGAGCTTCATCTTCATCCCCTTTCTCCAGTTTAACACGTTTACTGTCCATGTCTACAGGTGACCCAGGAGCAGACACATGGTCCTTCTCCAGAGCACGCTTCTGACTGCGCGTTTGACGCACTGCCTCCTCTGACATGGCTGCTCTCACCCTGGAGAGAGAAAAAAAGAAACAGTTGGAAACATTTACGAACAGAGAAACGCAAGGTAGAGATGTGGAAGGTACACAGATAAATAAATTAAGGTGTGCTGTGACAGTTTAAAAAAAAAAAAGAAGCAGTGCAGTGTCTGAAGAAGTAGTTTTTCTTAGTCAGTACATCTCACAACAGTCCAGGATACCCAAATATTGGATTTCAAATAGAACACTATGTCCAGTGAGACAGAAGTCTTGTAAAACAAACTATTAGTTGAGTTAACCTGGCTGAGCTATGATTATGACCCACTGTGTCTGCAGTAAACGATGTCAACCATCTAAAGCAGGTGCCACAGAAAGTTAAAAAAAAAATTAAAAAGAAACTTTAATTCTACTGGACCATGGCATTGAAAACTATACAGAGGGAGCCTAAGTGTCAGAGGCCAAAGAGTGACTGAAGTAGTTTAGGCAAATTTCATTTAAATATATCCCATGAGTGAGCTTCATGTAAATAGGTTTCAATGACAGACCTTAAAAGAGAGGTTTTCAGTTGAACATGACCCAGACATCTTCTTGACCTTACAAATCATTCCTTAGCCGTTTTCACATATGCACTCTGGCTAATATCTAGATAATTACAGGAGGACTACTCTGGAGATTCTCCCGACCTAGCCGTTCACATATGCTCCTCACAGCGGGGGACTATCCCTGTCAGAGAGGAGGGGGATCGGGGGATTTCCTGGGGTCCCATTGGCTCGAGGTGAAATCTCCGGAGTATATGCTGCCACGTTCAGACATCAGCTCACATAGCCTAAAGCCCCTCCGGGTAGCCAATCTCCCAAGTTTTTCAGGAGATTTCCGTATGTGTGAAAAGGGTCCTTGATAGTCCAGGAGAATAAATACTGTAAGAAACCTCAGGTTTTTAACCAAAATAATGATGCAAATTCACTGAACTAAATTTGATGCACACAATAAACTTGCAGTCCTTGCTGTTTAAACAAGGGTCAATCCTGAAGTGTATATGCATCTCCCATTCTACTGCCAGGGCTCCAGATGCTGACCCAAATCATTAATCAGAATTCTGGGGAGAAACCATTACTTGGCAGAAAAAAAGCTCCAACAGGAAGTAACATTTACTCCAAACATATTCATGTAGGCCAAACACTTTCTATTGAAAAGGCAAATAAGGTCGATAACTATTTATGTGTGACGCATCAAGACACAGATGAGAGTACTTTTACATGTTAACATAAAATAATTCAGCTATGAAAACACAATTGATGGTTAATGATTTGAGCTTCAACTAACAGCATATGTCCACTATCTTTTCAAGTCTAGAAAAGGCCACTCAAGGTCTTCCTAATCCAGCGTGACATCATCACAGCTCCCCATGACCCTATCCCAAGATTCCACAAGACAAAAAAAAAACCCAAACGCTTCAACGAGAACCGGTTTGAACTGGTTTGCGATTGCAAAAAAGGTGCAGGTTTAACCCCTGGAGAGACAGAGTGGCAACCGGGAGGGACAGACGCAGGGAGGCCCCCCCCCCCCCAGACTCATCTTATACAGCCAGGGTTCCCACTCTTTAATACTCTTTAATAGTCTGATTCAAAAGAAGTGCAGTCTATTACCATAAACTCTTTCATGCTTATAAATGATGATGGATTGATCATAGAACAATGTTAACACACCTGCAGATGTATAGCACTTTATTTGATAAAATAAGTACAATACAATAAAGGTTTGGGCATTTACAACCTGGTGTTTCAATGTGAAAAATAAAGAGCCAACAGAAGCCTCTTGCACCTGCCTTACTCAAAATAATACTAGTCATACCGGTAATTGCTGCCAGCGCCTTTATTTTCTCTGTAACACGGATTATTTATACTTGTACTGATCATTGATCGGTGATGTTACCAACAAATTCTAAAAAATATCTACAATGCAGCTGAAACCTTCAGGTCTGTGTTTGTTTCAATAAGTGTGTAAGGAACCTAAAATGCACCCTGCTCTGGTGCACAACAAGGACAGATGTGCCCTGCTGTACCATCCCTGGACACAAAGGCTATCTATCTTCCACAGATGACAGCTTCAGTGTGGGTGTGAATGTGTGCATAACCATACATAACACAAAGTGCTGTAAAAACAATACTTTACAACTGTAAGATTGAAGAAAGAGTGGCTGCACATTACTCTGGCTGTAACAGTGAGGTGGTGAACCATGTCAGGTACAAAGTGACTGTAACCTTCTGGGAGAGTGCCGTGTCAAACTGGCACGTTAGGGACAGACGTGGTTGCTAGTTTCACATCCTGGAGACACGTGGCTACTTTCGTCCCAGAGGCCATGAGGCCGATGGCATCATGAATCAAATGTTGTCATTTGTTGGATGTATCAAGAGGAAAAAAACAAGTACAAGTGTCCTTCCAAATGCTCAGTGATTTTCTATGCAATCAAGACTGACTAATAGTGATGTGTACTAGATGTCATTGTTGCCGCACCATCCATTTCGCTCAGCCCTCAGTGAAGGAGCACTACTCACTAAAGGCCATTATCTATTCAGCGCCTTGGTTTCTATGTGAGCCTTGATGACCTGTTGTGTGAGAAAAAGTTAAGAACCCTCACTCTGAGCTTGTGAGAATGCAAAACAACATCAACAAATGAAGAACATTCAGCAAGACAAAGCATCTGCAAGGCAAAGGTTTCAATATGGAAACCTTTCAGAGGATTCCAATTAAACAAAATAATCTATCCATTCGTTGACAAATCATAGTAAAAGAAAATCAGGTATGTAGCCAGAAATCGAAAAAACATCAACTTGTCAGAAAATGAGATAGTGTTGCTCAGCTCAGGAGTTTGTTGTGCCAAGAGAGAACAGCAAAGGCACAAACAGGTATACCATGAGACAAAATTTCAAAGTTGAGACCTTTGATAAGGGAAGTTAAAACAGATCTCCTCTTTTAGATGTACAAAATCACATCGTTTAGGATTTATTATAATAGATGATAATCACAGTTATTATTATTTTAAGTTCTTTTAAATCATTTTTCTTGCTTTGCTATCACCTAATTAAGGATTCTGCAACACAATCTGCACTCAAATGATATGAAGTATGTTGTAATCACTGACTTCTGTCAGAGTGAGAACTTGTAGGGCTTTAAATATTTATGAAAAACATGATACTACACGTTGCCTGAGCTAACATCAACAAGTTTGGTTTGAAAGAGGCAATCAGAATTGAATTCTACAACTAGGAAATAAACAGAGTGGGATCCTGAATCAATCAGTGCGAGTAGTGCTCATGCATGCATCCATCCAGTGTGTAAACCACGAGATTGATGGAGCTGTCCATCAGCGAGTCCACTGGGAGAGGGAATGGGTATCCCAAACCCTTCCAGTAATGGACTCAAGGACATGTTTAGCCTATTCCTGTGTGCTTTGCTTGACTTAAACTGCCTTCTGGTATTCATTATCTATAGTATGAAACGTTGCAATGTGTATTGTACAAGATAGGCATAGACAATGTTATATCATAGTATGTTCTGACCCTGCTGCCCTGAATTAAGGTTGTCAAAATTTTAGCAATAGACTTCTATACCAATTGCCTTAAAATGATCCCATCTCCATTATTTTTCATGTGCTAGCAGCAGAAAGTACAGGGGGGGGGTGTCTACACTCATATTTCACCTCAAAGCTGCCAAGAGCAAAACAGAGAGCAGTGGAGAAGGTGAGCACTGTTCATGAAAAAAAATAAAAAATTTATGATTGTTTCTGTAACATTTTGAAGCAACAATAAACATTCAAATCCACCATAAAATCCAGCAGTTAGGTGCTGGACTGTTTACATGCAGCTGTGCTTCTCCGTGTTCCTATTGTGTTTCTCCGCTCTGCTTTACATCAGTCCTGAAGCTCAAAAACAGCCTCCATAAGCCCACACTGTTCCAATGCTGCCAAAAGGCAACATTCAAGTCTACTCCTTTTGGCATCTTATAATATTGCACAAGTTCAGGTATTGTCTGATACAGACGCAGAGCAGAGAGACAGCGATGTCACCTGGTCGGTTATTTCATTCTGTCCCGTTTGAACCGCTCTGCTCCCCTGCACAATGACTAATGGTCAGAAATGTCTGAGACACAGCAACATGATAGCAAAACCCGAAAATACAGACTGAAGTTTTTAGTGATTTACAGAAACCGCTCTGTCTCATGTGAGCTTTGACAGTGTGAAACACAAACACAGTTCTTTTAATGGATGTGTGTGTGTCTGAGCACCAATGGATGCGTGTGTATTTAAGTGTTATATCTTCAGTTCTTGCGGAGCAAAGAAGGTCAAACAATAGTGACGCCTTTTAGAGGAACTGGAGTTACATCCAGTAACTATATTTTTTGGACCAAACAGCGCTCTGTAATGGAGTTTGTTTGTCCAAGTTTACTGACGACAGCAGGCTCTTATATTACTGACAATACAATTCTGATTCTTGTCAACCGTAACCACCAGCTTAAACCTGCATGAAAGATACAGTTGGAATATAGTCGCATTTCTGCGGATCAGAGAGGTTCAGAGCATTCCACCCGGAGCTGCTGTTGGATCTCACACAGAAATTAGGGATGGCTAAGAGTACTCGGCGTTGACCCCATCATTCGAGTAACATTTTGTTACTCATGCACCTGTGCAAGCACTGCTTTTGGCTACAAAACTTGAACTCATACAGCGTTACATGTGTGACCGAGCCTTTTGTTTTTCGCCTAACTGAATATACTAGGTAGGAATATAATTAACGGGATACAAACGTATGACTTCTCCGGCCACGGCTTCAGCTTTAGTACACACCGAGCCAGATTTCAGCAAAAACAACTGTTTTACGGCAGCTACAGGAACTCTCTAGGAACATATTATTACACCGAAAGCAAAAGCACAACAAATACAAAACCGCCTGCTACACCTGCGACCTGTCAGTCAAGAAAAGTGATGTCTGGAAGTACTTCGACAAAAACGATGAAGTTAATGTGCAGTGCAAGATA